ACAGGCACGTGCTACCATGCCGAGCTAATTTTTGTATTTTTAATAGAGACAGGGTTTTACCATGTTGATGAGGCTGGTCTTGAACTCCTGACATCATGATCCACCCGCCTCGGCCTCCCAAAGTGCTGGGATTACAGGCATGAGCCACCACACCTGGCCACATCTTCAAGTTTTACAGAAGCTTCCAAACAGTTTCCAGAGTACTTCTACCATTTTACATTGTCATTAGCAGGATACAGGAGTTGTAGTTCTGCCATATTCTTGCCAATATTTCATATGCTTACTTAATTTTTTTTTTTTTTAGCTTTTTAAATGAGTTCATAGTGGTATATGATTGTGGTTTAATTTTCATTTTCCGAATGGCTAATGTTGAATATTGTTTCATGTGCTTTCTTGCCATTCATATATATATTTTTCTTTAAGTATCTGTTTAAATCTTTTGTCCTCCACCTTTTGAAAAAGTGGGTTGTTTAGTTTCTTACTGCTGAATCGTAAGAGTTCTTTACATATTCTGAAAACAAGTCCTTTTTCAAATATATGCTTTGCAAACGGTTTCTACATGTATGTTGCTTGTCTTTTCATTATCTTAAGGATGTCTTTCAAGGAGAAATTTTAAATTTTGATGAAGTCCAATTTAAAATTTGTTCTTTTATAAACATGATTTTGGTGACATATCTAAGAAGTATTTGCCTAACTGAAGTCACAAAGGCTTTCTGCTATGGTTTTCTTCTGGAAGTCTTTCTAGTTTTTACATTTAGGTCTATGGCCCATTTTGAGTTAACATATGTGGTGTGAGCTGTGGATCAAAGTTCTGTTTTGCATACAGATATCCAATCATTGTAGCGCCATTTGTTTAAAACATTTTCCTAGCTCCGCTGAATTGTCTTTGTGCCATTATTGAAAATCAAGTGTCCATATATGTTTGGGCCTCTTTCTAGACTCTTTATTCTATTACAGTGATCTTCTTGTTTATCTTTATGGCAATATCTTACATTCTTGATTACCGAATTTTTAATAAGTCTTTAAATCAGGTAATGTTCATCCTTCAATTTTGGTCTTCCTTTTCAAAGTTCATTTGGATATTCTAGGTACTGTGCTTTTCCATATGAGTTGTTAGAATCAGTTTGCCAATTTCTACAAAAAAAAGCCTACATGGAGTTTGATTGTGATTTAATTGAATTTATAGAACAGTTTGGGGAAAATTGAGAGTTTTACAATATTATGTCTTCTGAGTCATGAACATGATACATCTTTTCATTTATTTAGGATTTTTTTCCGTTTCTGTTAACACTGTTTTTTAGTTTTGTGTGTTCATGTCTTGCATATATTTTATCCCATTTATTCCTAGTAATTTCATACTTTTAGTGCTATTGTAAATGACATATTAAAAAATTTCAACTTCTAATTTTTCTTTTTCTGGAAAGTTGAAATATAATTTATTTTTCTGTGTTAATTTTGCATCCTGCAACTTTTCTAAATTCATGTATTAGTTCTAGTTGCATTATTGTACATTCCATTGTGTTTTTTAGATAGACAATCATGTCATTTGTGAATACTGACATTTTTACTTCTTTTTTTCCAAAACAAAATGCCCTTTAGTTATTTTTCTTCCCTTATTGCTCTGGCCAGAATCTCCAGTACAATGTTGAATATAACTGGTGAGAATGGACTTCCTTGCTTTGTTTCTTTTCTCAGGGAAAACGTTCTGTCTTTTCTCAATACCTTTGATGTTAGTTGTTTGTTTTATGTAACTGCCTTTATTGAGTTGAGGAAGTTTTCTTCTACTTGTAGTTTGCTGAGTTTTTATCAGGAATAATGTTGGATTTTGTCAAATGTACTTTCTGTATCTACTGAGAGGATAATATAGTTTGTTTTCAATGTTAGAACAAGCTACATGAAGGTGAATTACATTAATTTTTGAATGCTGAACCAACTATGCATTCCTGAGATACACTCAAGTTGATCATGATGTATTATCATTATTGTAAAATGTTGAAATCATTTTGCTAAAAAATTTTCTTGGACTTTTTATATCCATGATCCTAAGAGTTATTAATCTGTAGTTTTCTTTTCTTACAACATCTTTGATTTTTTGTACCAGAATAATTTTTGTGTCATGAGTGGGTTGGAAACTATTTCTTCAGGTTTCAAATTTCTCCAAGAGTTTGTGTAGAATACTATTTATTTGTTAAATGTTTGGCAGACTTCAACAGTGAAGTTATCTGGGCTTGGAATTTTGTTTTTTGAAAAGCTTTTAACTCTAAAAACAATTTCACTTCTCTCACTCCTGAGACTGGTAATATTGATAATTTGTTCTCTCTCTCTCTCTCTCTCTCTCTCCTGTGTGTGTGTGTATCTCAAAAGTCTGGCTAGAGGTTTATCAATATTTTTGGAAAATAAAAAGAAGCAGATTTTGGTCTCATTGTTTTTCTCTTATTTTTCTGTTTTATATTTTCATTTTCTTCCACCTTCATCTTCATTATTTCTTCTCCTACCTTTGAGTTTAATTTGCTGTTCTAATTTCTCAGAATTGATGGTGAGATAGTTCATTTGAGGCATCCCTCTTCTGCTCCTCCTACTCTTTGTTTTTGATATAGGTCTTCAGTGCTCTAAATTTTGTCCCAATTACTGCTTTGGAAGCATTCCTCAAAGTTTGATATGTTGTGTTTCTGTTGTCATTCAATTAAAACAATTTATAATTTTTGTTAGTTTCTTCTTTGACATGGGTTATTTATGAGGATGTTATTTTATTTCTACATATTTTTAGATTTTTTCCAGATATATTTGTTGTTGATTGTATTTTAATTTCATTGTGTTCAGAGAACATATTTTATCTGACCTGAATTCTTTCACATTTATTGAGACTTACATTATGACCCAGAATATAACCTGTCTTTGTAAATGTTTCATATGTACTTGAAAAGAACGTTCATTTTGCTGTCGTTGGGAAGAGTGTCCTAAAATGTCAATTAGGTCAAGTCATTTGTTTATAATTCTCAAGTCTTCCATCCTTACTGATATTCTGTCTACTTTTTCTATCAATTATAGCTGGTTATATTTGTGGTTTTCTACTTCTACTTGCAGTCCTATCTCTCTTTTTTGCTTCATATATTGTTAACCTATGTTATCAGGTACATAAATGTTTAGGATTTTAAAAATCTTTTGCTTGGCACATAATGGACAAAACTTTTGCATGTATCTTAGGAAGATACATGGAAAGATATGTGCAAAATGTAACAAAATGTAATAGTGTAATCTACTTGGATATGTCTTCATTTCATATGCTCCATAATGCACTTCTTTTTGTTTTACAAGGCAATATGGAGATGTGATCATTCCTCTTCCTACAAGTATTAGCCTGAGTAATATTAAACTTATGTTCTGTTTCTGGTATTATGTGTCTATGACTTTCTAGGTGTCCAACATTTAAATTCAATGCTCAACCATCAAAATCAAAGATATTTTATATAATCAATTTCAAGGGTATTTTATATGGCAATTAAACACTACCCATGTAGTTTCAACAGTATACAGACTCCACTGAAGAGATGACAACGTCGGTAGTGATGACCAAGTTTCCGCATGTGTAGGCAATGTGAATTATGCATTGATGGCTATCTAAATGACACTTAAGTTTAAGACATATACCTTGATGTTTAAATGTGAAAAAAATTATTTTAAGTCTATGAAATATGGTTCATGCCAGGTAGGAATACTGTTTTCTATATAGTGATGGATGAATCAGCCAAGTTACTGTCTCCATAGAGCTTACATTGTAGTGTGTATAGGCCAGTATGAAATAAGCTCAAAATAAATGAGACAATTCTTACCCATGGTATATACTAAGAAGTAAAGAAAGAGCAAAGCAGTTGGAGGTCAAAGGGGTAGGGTGAAGGTGCTGTTAATTGGACTCTCAGTGAAGGCCTTTCTGAGGATGTCATGAGTGAGATGAATGACACTGAGACCTGAATAGGGAGAGGGAGCCATGGGGGATGACATTGGGGAAGAGCATTTGAAGCAGAGGGAGCATCAAGTAGAAGGGCTCTTGATCAGGCATGAGCTTGGTGCTGGAGAAACATAAAGAGAATCAGCATGGCTGGAGTTCAGTGAGTTAGAATGGTAGCAGGTGAAGGTGGAGAAGCAGGTTGTGAGGGTGCTTTTGCTTTAGTTTCTCTAAAGTTGAACTAGAAGATTAAGTATTCTTTTAGAAAAACACATTAGACACATTGCTGCACATGGGTGTGTTTCATTTCAACCTTGTGTGGGGACTAAAAGCCGAAGGAAATAAGCCGCGCCTCCCAGGGTGCTTAGCATCTGTACTACATGCAATTTAGCACTTGGATATATGTCTCCATGTGTTACTTGCAAATTGTATAATCTGTTTTAGCCTTGTCACTCTGAGGGGAAAGGGCCATGTTATATTGGTTCAATTAGTACGATCTGGCTTCTCAAGGGATAGTTATGGCTGGGGGGAGGCAGGGGGTAGAAGAGGGTTGATGCAAAATCAGCATGTTTCCCGGCAATTATATTAACCAGTTAGCACTTAAAAGGACTATAATGGGAACATCTTTCTGGAGGGCAATCTTGAAATATGTATCAGCCAATCTAAGTTTTTTTTAATGCTTTTATGTTGAAAAGTATATGAAAGAAATGATCAGGGCAAAGATGCTTCAACAGGGATGTTCATTGAACTGCTTTTTTTTGTAATAGCAAAAAAGTTGTCAGCAATGTAATGCTGGAAAACAGTTACTATACAATATTATTCAGTATTAAATTTGTGATGTAGATTTATACTTTTTGGCATAAATGATGTCTAAAATATTTTAAATGTAAAATATGGGCAGACGTAGAGTATAATTCCACCTTTGAGAAACAGTAAGTTTCTGTATGTGAGAAAAGAAAAAGAAAAATATCTGTCCATCTACAAATATCAAAACAGCAGTTATTTCTTTGCGTTGGGGTTATACATAGGCTTCCTTTTACCTTTACAGATGTTTATATTTTCTGAGCATTTTACAATGAATATACATTTTATACATAAGATTATTAGAGAAAAAGCCTATTTCTATGTTGAAAAATAACAACAAGGCAAGCTGCTTGTTGAGCAGGAGTTGAATTAAAGGGTCAGTTTATGAGGTAATGTCAAGAACACGCTTGGGGCACACTCAGAAGAAAGTGGTTCTGGCATTACACTTGACACATAATAGATAACAAATGGTGAGTGGTTGTTATGGGTTGAACTGTGTCCCCCACAAAATCTGTATGTTGAAGTCCCAACCCATAGTATCTCAGAATGTAACCACAGTTGGAAATAGCAGATGCCGAGCACACATCGCGTGCAGCTTGCTAGCAGTGTTGACTGAGAGTCTAGAAGGGCTGGACTTGCGAAAGGATGACTTTGGCAAGGGATTTACTACCTCTGTCCTTGGAAGAGGAAAAGAAAAATCTTAAAAAGAAATGGCTACTGCGAAGTCCACATTCTTACTGTATGCATGTAAAATGTCCAGGTTGCTACAAGATTACCACGGTTTTCAACCATGCTCAGAGAGTGGTTCTTGGAGTAGGTTGTTTAACAGTGTTGTGCCAGCCTACAGGAGGATAGGCCAGCATCACAGAAGGCTATTCATTTAGGAGAAAGCAACACTAATGATCCACATGCTTCCTGAATTTGCATTATCTCATAGAAAGCCTTATCATAAGTTCCATAATTCGAATTAATCTACCAAGATAATGTAATTACATTTGGTTTTGTAAGGTGTACAACCGTGGTCTCCTATTTTGATGTCAGATTTTCAGTAAAGTTTTGGTTATGGGCAAAAATAAAATCATCTTTACAGAGGCAATTAACTTAAAATGAGGCAGGTAAGGTGGGTCCTGCTTCTAGTATGGATGTGTACAAAAGGAGGAAAGTCCATGTGAGGACACAGTGAGAAGGCAGCCGTCTGCAAGCCAAGGAGAGAGGCTTCAGGAGAATCCAAACCTACTGACACCTGGATCTTGGACTCGTAGCCTTCAGAACTGTGAGACAGTGAATTTCTGTTGTTTAAGCCACCCAGTTTGTGGTATTCTGTATGTCACCTTTAATAGACTCATACAGTGGTCAAAAAATGATGGCTGCTGTTATTAGGAAGAGTTATTCAGCACTAGGCACTGCGCTGAGGACTTTACATTCAGTATCTTATTTCTTCATCACATAATCTTATGAATTAGATTCTATGATTCATACATGTTTTGCAAAAAAAAGTAAGTGAGGACTGAGGCCTAAGGGTCTTAAATAATTCATCGCATAGCTAGCAATCTGGCAGAGCTTGGTTTTGAATGTCGGTTGTCTGATGCTGTAACTTCTGCCTTAGACACTTCACTAATATTAGTACGACTTTGTGATGGTGCACAAAGTTAGGATCCAAGAAAGTTAACATGGCAACACCAATAAAACGGCACATTATTTCACTCTAGGTAATAAATGTATACAGTATTTATATCTTTTTTGTTGAATTGAAAAACCCTTCCTCTTTATTACAAGGTAAAGTAATATTTCATGATATTTTGTTTGGTTTTGAACCACTAGGGGTATAATCCCATGTAACTCAGTGGGAATAGTAGTTGAGTACTAGAACTGGGACCAGGTCTCTTGGAAACTAAACAGAGACAAAGAACAAATAAAGGAAGCAGTCATTTGGAATTTGAAACCCTTAAATATTCAGTACTCCGTGACAGTTTGCTTTTCTCTTAACTTGGGGATGCTGTGTCATAAACTCTTGAAGTCAATCTGCTGAGGAAAGTCTTACCATCAGTGAAGAAACTTAGGTTCTGAGAGATGAAGCAACTTTTCTGAACTCACAGTTCCGGTCAGCGTTCTTTATCTCCAAAGTCAGACTGGTGGTGCAAACATACGTCTTCTTGTTCCCTGGCCAAACTTGAAGAGGACGGCCATGCTTACCCAGGGAATTAACCCTTTCTCTGTTACCATTAATTTATACTTATTTCATGTTCACTCTTTAGAATATATTCTGTATTTGACTGTATAGAGGAAAGTCTGAGTCCCTAACCCCTCAAAACTTTGAACTGCAGATAATTGAAACTTAGAAAGTTTACTTTCCAGAAATAACTTACTGGAGACTCATTTGGAGAAAATAGGAAATCCCTCTTGTAATTCAAGATCTTAGTAACACCAATATTTAATCATTTAGTGAATGCTTGCCATGTGCCAGGAACCATGAAATGCAGTTTCCCATTAAACATGAGGCATGTATTTCTCCAGCTTCTGAGAGGGTTAGCTGCTAACAGCTCAGAGCTGAGCCTCTCTCTAGGAATTTCCTTTAATCCAATGGGTGGCCCTTATCCAATGACTAGTTGATTAAGGTACAAAAGAAAGAGTATAGCTCTAGAGGAGCCATGCAGAGATCCCCCTAGAGTTGGCTGGGGCTTCTCTATGGGTGATCTTCTCCCTCTGTCTGGTCCTTGTTCCTCTAACTGCTTTCTAATACACCTCCTGCACTTGAATCTCCACCTTAAAGTCTTGTTCCTAGTGAACCTGATATAAATCAGAAGCCAAATAAAATTTCATCCATCCATCCTTCCCTCCCTCCCTCCCTCTTTCCCTCCCTCCCTCCCTCCCTTGACTTCTTTACCAGATACTATTAAACGCCTGTAATTTACCAGGCAATATTCAAGGTCTTGAGGGTATAGTGGAATTCCTGCAATTCCTGAAAGCAAGATCTGTATTCTCACAGAGTTCCTTACTGTTTCTATGTTTAAAGTGCTTTAGGCTAATAGCACCATATCATTATTAAATGTTCTATAGTTATCTTTTAATTAAGTGATAAAAAAATTACCCTAGTCAATATAAATCCTGATTTGGGTTACATCATCTTCCACCCTGAATTACTAAATAGGGTCTTCCCAGGTGTTTCCTAACTAAAATCCCTTCATCTCAGTCTGCCCTGACTTTTCTCTTCTTCAAAAGCACGTCTGATAATTTAAAGCATTCTCCTTAGCTACCTGATAGGATGCAGTTTTTATAGTGTGGCAAGCAGGCTCTTTATAAACTGGTTCCATTCAGTTTTTTCAGCTTAAACTCTGATTACTGGACTACTATAACCCAATTTCTTTCCATTAGACCCCACTGATACCTCTTTTCCTTCTCTGTATAGAATAATTGCTATGATCATGTTATTTTCTGTTCTTGAGACTTTCTACATTATTTTCTTTCTGAAAGGCGACTCTTGTCTCCCAGGTCATCTGCAGTGCCTCCATCAATATTTCCACTTGCTAATCTTCTGGTTTGAATATCACCTTTTAAGTTTTTATTGTTAACCTCCAAATATCAATTGAACACGGTAGGACCATTTCTTTCTCTTCCATTCTCCCATGATATTTTGTGTAGCCATCCTTTGTATGTGTTACCAATTTTCATTGCAGCTACTTGTTTGTGTCCTTCTCCCTTAATCAACTGTTACATCCTTGAGTGCAATGACTATGTCTTGTTAATTTTTTTTTTTTTTTTCCAATTGGAGTCTTGCTCTGTCACCCAGGCTGGAGTGCAGTGGTGCCATCTTAGTTCACTGCAACCTCCGCCTTCCAGGTTTAAGCAATTATCTTGCCTCAACCTCCTGAGTAGCTGGGATTACAGGCACGTGCCACCACGCCTGGCTTATTTTTGTATTCTTAGTAGAGATGGGGTTTCACCATGTTAGCCAGACTTGTCTTGAATTCTTGACCTCGTGATCCACCCGCCTTGGCCTCCCAAAGTACTGAGATTACAGGCGTGAGCCACCGTGCCCGGCATTAATTTGTATATCTGTAGGACTTTACAATGTGTATACAGCAAAAACTGGATATATTGCAGTTGAATGCATTTCTCATTCATCCAATTCACTACTGGAGATACAAAATTAGCATTTCATTCCACTGGATTTCCTTTAAACAATGAAGTAATATTTTCATATTAGTTCCTCCAGGGTAAATTTCAACTGAGGAGAAATGGATACACGTTGGTGTTAGCTCTTTTCCTTTATTTAAATGATCTATTTCTTTGTTTTGGCTGCTATTTACCATTGTCTTGTTGCAGTGACTTAGTTCATAATGCAAATCTCTTCAGTCAATAGATATGCTTGAAATAGTTAGCTTGTGGTATGCTGTTTGAATAATTTTTCATCATTCAACCTTCCATCTGCATGCCAAGTACTGTGGAACGGATGTGGGGGCTTCTGTTGGGAGAGGGGAATGACAGGAGAAGAAAAATTATAATGAAATAAGGAAAAGGAAAATCTGAAATTGTTTTCCAGCTGGGCAGTGGCAATCATGAGTACCATAAGTAGTAACAGTTTAATTTTTAAGGATGGTTGTTTTCCCTGAAGACCTGCAGATATGCAATAGGTACTGACTGGTATGTAAAAGTAGAAATGTCATTAGCTTTATCCCTTCACTCCTCCACTTCTACTTCCCCTTTCACTCATAATTAGGCACCTTGTAGATCATTAAATCTGTTGTGATCCCCGTCTCCCCACATTGCATCTGCCTCTCCATATTCTCCCCTACATAATGCCCCTGAAATGCTCCTGTTTAGTCTCCTCTTCCATCAACTTTCCAAGACTCCCCCACCAAATCAGAGCCATTTTTTTTTCTTTTGTAATCTCATGTTAGTTTGTCTGTCCCAATATTTTTATTCAGGTAACAACATTTAATTATTTGTTCATATGCCTGTCTCTCCTTTACAATCACTGGCTCCAAAGAGAGGATGTCTTACCTTGTCATTCTTAGCAGTTCCATAGTGAATGGAATAAAACGGTTGCTGATATATATGTACTGAATAAATGATTAAATGATTCAGAAGAAATACTTATTGAGGGTTCTTTTTACATATTACCTAACACAAGTCTTCTAAAATGTCCAACCATTTCAACGATAATTAGCCTCATTGAAGAATGTTATGAAAAGATTAGGACATGGAAAAAGCACATTATAATTAGAAATACAATATATGTTTTTCTGTTTGTTTCTCTTCTGCCTAGAAATAAAAGCATTTTTATAATTTAAGCCAGAAAACTTTATCTTTGGGTGTAAGAGGATATCATTAGATGTGGCATAAACCTTTTCATATGTTGAACATTTCGAAAACTAGAGCTTATATGTAACTTAAAATGTCAACGATGGAAACCTTATGGAATCTAATTCTTCACAGAAATAAATGGTGCAAGTGTGCACAGTAATCAGAATGTGAGGATTGCATCAGATAGTATGTATTATGTGAAAGAGAGAGATATATATATTATATTTTGTGTATATTTAATGAGTTTTGTGATTGGTCATTACTGTCCCACCATGTCCATTACTTTCTTTAAAAATACTGGACAATGGCTAGTTTAACCTTGTGTATACCTGCTCATTCTAAAATCTTTCTCTGTGTATTTTTCAGTATTATGAGTTTGCTAGTTTGATGAGGAAAGAATGTGTTGGTCAAACTTTTAAATAATCTACTTTTCGGTATTATGAGTTTTTATTTTGAGGAGGAAAGAACATGATGGTCAAACTTTTAAATAATCTCCCCCTGAACCATTTGCGAAATACAAAATGTATGTCAGTGGCCCATATCAGCTATAA